CAATGCTCGAGGTGGGCTCGTAGCAATTGGAGAAGTAACTATACTAGTTTGGTTACGGAAAGACATGTTTGGCAGTAAGTCGGAGCCCTTTTTCGTCAGGTCACGAGGTGAATTTTTTTGCTGATCATCTCTGCGTACAGTCAACAACCATGGTGTGTCTATGCTCTGCATATTGCCACCTTTACCTCCTTGTCCTTCGCTTTTGATCCTCTCATCATCTACCTCTCATTGAAGGCTACTGCATCTTGGTCCCCACAGAATCAGATGATTGCAGTGATTGCCCAACTGGTTTTCATGCTTGTAACGAAAGTCGTGAAGTTGATCGGCCTCTTCATTCGAGAACCAAAAGATATTGGGTTCCTTCCAATCTCTATTCTCTTTGGATACTTTCATGGATGGATCAAATTATATGCACTGCTGACACTTCGGATGGTAAGCTAATACTCCGCTCTCACATGTTTTCCCTTTTTGGGCTCCAATGCAATTTTAGATGCTAATAATCCTTGTACAGACTTCGTGGGGTAGTCGTGCAGACGGAGACGCCAATGATAGTCATCGAATGAGTCCTCGAGCACGCCGCAGCGATAGTATTACATCTCCACCGGTCAACCACCCCGGTCTCATCCGCTATAAAGACGAAGTGCAAATGGAAGCACCCGAAACCATCGAGAGCTCTCAACACACCTCCTTATCGGAAAAGTCGAGCTGCGCGCTGGTACTGGAGCCTGACCCTTACTACCACTCGGACGATGGGTACAACAATGAGACTTTCTTCGATGAAAGTAATCTCGACTCCGCTTCCGATGCTTCTTACGATGCAAATGATTCCCATGATGATGATGATTGATGTCTTTCTTTCTCATTAATTTCCTGATGAGGCAGTTGTAGGAAAGGACCCCCCCTGAGACGCTAGTGCAGCATTGTCCTGGGGGCGATCGCTTTCCTACTGTTTGTCATTTACATGCGTTGTCTTATTGTTTCAACGTTTCTTCACATTTCCGGCCGGCGTACGCGCTCGTGCATTCAGCATATTGGCGATTGAAAAGATTAACTGGGTTATTGGATTCTACACACAACATATTCTTGCATTTGTTTTTGGAGTTTATCTTTCATTTACTTTTCTTGAAAAGAGATGAGAAGACTTGGTAGCTGCTTTAGGATATCGATGTACATACGCACATCCCACACCTCAGAATTTGTTTATTTTTCTTTCTATTTATATGTCGTTTCTATGTTATTCATTCCAAATTTGATATTTTCTTCATTTCCAATTTATTTACTAGGATGGAAACTGGTCTACAAAAGTGTCGGGGTGATGGGCTTTAAGGACGGTCTCGAAAAAGAAAAAAACCCTTTCTGATATCTTCATTTCATTGTCTTTTCCTTCTTACTTAATTATCAGCGTGGATTCGAAGGAGGAAAGACTCTCATATAGAGGTCCACAATCAAAATGGGAATAGGATCTATGAGAAAATAATTTTTGGTCACGGAAATAAAGGCATCATGACAGTGATCTGATCTGATCTAATCAAATCATGTAGAATAGAAAGATAATTATCTCAATAAGCATATGGATGCGATAAGATGAGATGGTCTGTATAGGAGACTCGGAAGCTGCAAGCATATAGTTTGGATCTTCAATATCAAATTATCGTTCGTTTGTTCAAACTTGACATTAACTGACGATTGAAGATGCGTGTGAAACCCAACCTATTAACAGCCCATATATCTTGGCCCAATTTTATTCCATACTTATTCCGCACCCTATAGAAAATCGCTCAGACACAGACACCATATTTCACCGTCTCATATGTACACAAGTACCTTGTGCGTTCATTCTTTGGTAAGAGATTACTATTGGAAAGACCATTCGGCCTGACCGATCAGCAAAGCCAGGTGCCAGAGTCTACCAAATCCGGCAAGCCAGAGAAAAAAACGCAAGGCAAGTTGGGATGAAACGGTTAGATAATAAAGGAGGCAGGTTTGAAGAGTTATGGATGTGTAACGCATATGCATATATATGTACTGCTACCTGCATATGCTTGAATGACAGTGGCATATTCCTTGGCCTTGGCGTGTCTAATCGGAAGTGACCCAGATGGTGGGGAGGTGGATATTTCATTTGCTCAATGTTGCGTTGAGTTTTGATGGATCTGGATTCCCGGACTGAAATGGAAGGGCAGGATGTTGGACTGGGAAAAGATGATGCGATGTGCGGAACTGGAAAGACGTTTTGAGAAGATTTCCAATAAAAGGTGGAAAGATATTCAGACCAGACAGGTGTTCATCACTCATAGCCGTTGTAACGTTTATGCAGTATGCATGCATATGCAATTTATTACAGGGGAAGGGTGGTGCGGTTAGGGGGTTGTGATTTGTGTGGAAGAAATGGCGCTGGGGTATTGAGTGATTACCCAGGTATTTATGTGGTCTCGAGTTATGTTCTGGACTGAGGTGGAGAAGTGACTGAAGAACCACATAGCTATCTTCAAGCATGCATACGGTGTGCATGTTGTAGGATTTCTTTGTATGTAATAGCACTTCCAGATTGCCTCGCGTTGCATCTAGCAAACGCAATCGACAAACGGAGAAACAGGAGTGGAACTATTTAGGACCATGTTGGATATACAGTTCTTACATTTTTCATTTCATTCGGTATATGCATGGTAAGACGGAGTGTGCCAGCCAAACCGGTATTCGCTCGGAACTTCATGGACATCGAGAACATGCAAGAGTACACGGAAAACGGAGAAATGGGAGAAATGGGATCTTGCGTTGCAATCGGCAAATCTCTCATGCAATTACATACATTACATCCGAATGTCGCTCGGCATCTAGATACCCTTTTCGTCAGTGGATGATGTTTCCCATAAGATCGGATGTTGGTCGCCAAGAAGGACATTTATCCGGCCCGGGGACCGACGAAAGAGTTGGATGAGATAATGAATGAATAATGGAGGTGATTGCCCGTTCTGATTGTGGGGCCGAGTTGCAATTTGAGTAATTCCGTTTGAGTATATTGAGCTTATGAATGCAGCGAAATTTCATATACGTTGTGTCCAAGTGTGATATTATCGGGGAGTAGGTAAGTGGAGTTGGGGGGAGAGTGCAAGGAAGCGAGCTTCAGGCTATATCAAAACTCGGCTGGTGTAGATAGGTAATGTTCGAGCCTCGTAAGAATGAGTGAAGAGGATCTAAACATGGAAGTCGAGACGCACCGTGAAAATTCAGAAGCTCTGGATAAATTTCATTATTTTTGTGTCTTTGATGTTGATAGGGAACAAAAATTAGGTGAAATAGATGAAGAGAATGCAAAATGTCATATTCACATGTTTGGCTTTTATCTGTCCATAATGAAAAGCCTTGGATTAATATGACGAAACCACGACATATGATCCGAGAAGATGGAGATGATTGGAGAAGGTGGGGAAATGGGGGCACACTCTGGATTTGGCTTATATTTTTTTTTGGCAAATGTGGGTTTCTTGAAGCATGAGGTTTTCATACATTATCTCAACAGCGAGGGTATGTTGGGTGAGGATTAGCACGCGAAGATCGATGTACAAGCAAGAAGAGAAAAAAACTGAGGACTGTTAAAATCTTAGGTAACAAGCTTGAATCGGATGGACCTGCATAGATGGTGTTACGTGTGCTTCCTATGAGAGTATCTGGGGAAGCACTTGAAAATCTGGCATCAAAGAAATTATAGAATGCTGTAGCCATTTGTTAAACTGGAAAGTAATAAGGGTTTGTGGAGACGATATATCATTTCTGGCGTGGTCCGCATATCACAACTGTTAGTGATGGAAAGAAATCTGCTACCATGGTCTATCTCCTCTAAGATATTTATCTAGTAGATGTAACTACAGGGAATTTGTGGGAGACTACTTGAATATGGAAGGAAGTTGTGGAGAAAACGTTTTTGGGACCGTTCCTTTATTGATATTGAGGCGCTTGTTTAGATACATTCTGCGAGGCAGTCATTTACCTATCTGTCAGAATTTGCGGTTAAAGTGAAGCATACTGATATACTAGTAAGGATGGTAACATCATGAATTCAAGGCTTTGGGGGCATATTAAATCTTCACGGGCTTTAGACGCGGCAGGGTATCATAGATGATGAACTAGACGGGGATTAAGTAATTGGGCCGACTTCAAATAGATCAATGGCGAGGGCAAGGCTTTCCAGATCAAATCATCCACTAGTTCGATTTGAATATCATGGTATGCGCATCGATTGGACCCTCTTCATACGAATTGCTCAAGGAAATCAGCAGAAAATACGAGGCCTTTGAAGATTAAATTAGGTCATTGGGAAGACAAGACCTGCTAAGAGAGCCATCGGCTGTTCGGTCAGTCAAGCACAATTATCTAGCCGAACAAAATGTGAATTTGCCGATTCACGGCTTCATGACTCGACATTGCGAGTCAAAAATCCTGAATTCTTTCCTTATCGCGCCTTTCTCGGTCAATGGTCAAAAACTGAGATTTTAATCATCCTTGCTCATAGTTATGTACCTTGGCCGTCAATAGCGTCATGTAATTGATCCTTGCGACATGAGAAAATGGTCGCGCATGGAATCTCGATCCTAGTTGTTCAATCATTTTACGGAGTATTTGAAATTCCCTCCGTCGACGATCAAGACCAATGATTTCCCCATGAAGCTTTAAAAGATCAGGTATGAGTAGTATTGAAGGAAATGACTTTATCCTGTTTCAAGTACAGACTGTCGTAGATCGCAATAAAGTGCTTACTGTCGCATTTTGGTAAGAAGCCGTAGATCCTGAACGGAAGTGTCGTCACTAAGCTTCCTCCGTCAAATGCACGGCGTGATATCCTTAAAAGCACCGCACCAGTGCACCACGTGGCCTGAACCAAGCCCACGCAGCCATGCATGAAATCCCGACATATACCCCCTAAGGATCCGTTTGAGATATGGCTGTGTCCGATCGGATCGTGGTCCCGTTCTCCCCTGGTTTAGAAGACCCGCGTGAGAGTATCAGCATTCGCTTTCTACCCTACCAGCTAGAAATAAAATGTTTTCCTTCATAGCCAGTGTGATTTCCCCTTGCGCGGTATAAACATAGGCGATTGTATCAACCCATGCTTCTGGGCTGGGTAAAGGAAGATCAATGGAATCACCTTTACGAATATGCCCTGATAGCATCAGAGCGGCCAAAACTGGGAGATAATGTAAAGCATATTCAATATCTGGAATGAATTATTAGTCACGGTATACATTGTCATTGTACACAAGACACTTACGGATCGGTACTGCCACGTGATTGGAATTGATCTGGCGTCTGATATGGTCCGCGGTCCCGCGTCGATTTGGAATGGAAGTTTGCTGCAAAGATAACCGTCGAAGCCTGCTAGACCTCCTTACGATTGTTGAACCCCGTGAATGATCCTGATTGGACTGAGGCATCGGTATGTTGTCTCGCAGTTCTCGAATGTCAACTTCTCTTTGAATCCAAAAGGGCTTCCGTTCGATTTCTCTAGGCAATACTCTAGCACGTATTATCACCCGATCCGATATTCTGAAGGACTCATGCATATCCTGTTCTTTTATCATTCCCAAGCTTGGTCGCCTCAGATTGACTGCATTGACGAAAGCATCAGCGGTGACAACATTTCCAAAATAAACGTGACCCCAAGTCTGCAAGCGGTCATGGGTATACTCGAATGGAACACGGTGCGTTGAAGTGGAAGAAGCTGGAGTTTCAGAATGCCGCCTAGTATCGAAGATGCTGAAATCTGCTGATTCTTTTGATCGAATAATGAGGCAAGATTTAGAATGTACCATCTTCTCATTGGCGTGTAGAACCCCTGGAACCATCTGCGACGATGGCAAATTAGGGGAGATTATACTTGAAGATGCCTTGTCCAAGAAAGGTGTGTGTTTCGCCAGGGTCACCATGGTAGAGTGCCTCCTGGGGGTTTGCTGTGCTTGAAATAAGCTATTTTGTCGCGACCACGCGTCAAGTTTCCAGCCGATTGGTTTTTGGCATTGTGAGGCATAAGCTCGTGCTGCCACTAGGCTGGGACTGGGGAGTGGTGCGAGCGGGGATATAAACCCAACGCCCTGGGATGGAACGCTATGCTCACGCTCACGATTTCGCGCAGATTGCGGATGCAATTCGGGGTGCTGCAGCTTCTTATTCCGCGGGCGAATGATCCCCGGCATGGTAGACTGGGCTGACTTCGGACAATACTTGAAGAAACGCCCGAGGAGAAAGCGGAAACCTGGCTAGAAACGACTAAATATATTGAGTAGAGAAATAGCAAGTTCAAATGCAAGTGCTTATTGTTGATTGTTTTGTGATGTCAAAAGACATCAGTTCCATTGATGGACGGGGTGCAAAAATATTCCCAAGAGAAAGCTAGCTGAAGAACTTGTATACTATATGATCTAATAAAAGTCAAAAGATATGGAGTGCTTTTCTCATACCTGCCTTTGCTCATATGAGACGTCAATCACTCACGTTGAAAGGAAACGAGTTACAGAATGTCTGAACCATAACATCCCTTGAGTCTCCCTACTCAACTTCCTAACATCAAAGCCGCTTGTAACTATGAGGAGATCTGTATCGCCAAAGTATGTAAGTTCCCACGGGGACCCGAGACCTTCTCAACACTGGGTAGCCACAGGCTTTCGATAGAAACTCCGTTGAACCGAACCGCGGGTGTGTCTCAATCACACATGACCTGATAGGCCGGATGTGGGTTGAAATGTACATTCATGAGTGATTTAAAGAAGACAAGTCACCAGAACGATTGACAATTCTTGAAAGAAAGAGGTGGTTTCAAGTATCCGCGAGACATCTCAATGGAAAAGAAAGAAACATAAAGTAAGTGTTTGAGGTGGCTGTGCACTAGGGATCTAAACCGGTCAGAACTTTCTTTCAGTTTCCCCTGGATGCTAATTTCTTCAGAAACAAAAATCATGGTTTTCATCGAGACTGGATGAACTCAAATCATTGGAAATTTTCGCTAGAAGATACGAGGAAAAAATATGTCTTACAAATTGTGAAGTCGGAAGGGTGATGTGATGGGTTTGGTGAACCGAGCGGCGGGGCTGTCGTAGCCACAATGCGTCGGATTGTCTGGCCTCATCAGAAATTATAACACAGTTTTGACCTTCTCGTTCAACAGATATTACAAGCCCAGCGTTACCAGTATGTCGCGGGCAGCTGAAGCAGCTATGGCTGCTAGTTACAAAAGCTTAAAGGAGGATTTTGTGTCAAATTTGACAGGTGGAGGAATTGGAGAAATCAATATGGTTACTGCTGTCGCTCCAGTATGTTTGAGCCGTGCAAACAATTATTATTGCACAGCGAGCTAACCTTCTAAAACAGGTCGCAGTTATCCTTTGGTCGGCTTTACAGAGCCGCCAGTACTTTTTCGCACCATATACTCCAATTGCTTTCGCTGTCGACTTCCTTCTCAATGTCGGGGCTATTCTTCTCGCGATTTCTGTCTACGCAGATATGCCTCTCATCTTGAATCTCTTACTGCTTGCGCCAGTTCCATTATTATATGCAATTCCACCGCAGAAGACCACACAGAAGACTACACAAAAGAAATCGAGAATACCACAATCAAAAGCAAAACCTTCAGACGAATTGAATCCTCTTCCAAAGAAGCCTTTCCTTACTATCTATAGAGGGGCAATGATGGTTATCACTTGTATAGCTATACTTGCAGTCGATTTCAGGATTTTCCCACGGAGGTTTGCTAAGGTAGAAAACTGGGGAACATCATTAATGGACATGGGAGTAGGATCTTTCGTATTTTCAGGTGGTCTTGTAGGTGCCCGTCCGATACTCAAAGAACAGAATGCTGGCCGAACAACGAAGCTCAGCACACTCTTATACAACTCGATTCGCCATTCACTACCATTGATTGTTCTTGGTGCCATACGTCTATACAGTGTCAAAGGATTGGACTATGCGGAGCATGTTACTGAATACGGAGTTCACTGGAATTTCTTCTTTACCCTTGCATTCATTCCTCCATTCGTAGCGATATTTCAGTCCGCGTTTCAGCTCATCCCGTCATATGCCCTGTTGGCCGTAATCCTCGGCTCCTTGTATCAAGTTACACTGGAATATACCAGCCTCAAAGCTTTCATACTCGCAGCTCCAAGAACCGATCTATTTTCGAAGAACCGTGAAGGAATCTTTAGTTTCTTTGGCTATCTCGCAATATTTCTAGCTGGTCAAGCAGCTGGGATGTTCGTATTACCACGCAATTCCATACCGACCGGAGGTCCAGTTGCTCAGAGAAAACGCCTCTTGATGCAAATGGGTACATGGTCAGGCGTGTGGATTGCCCTCTACTTGTTCACCACAAATTACAAATATGGATTGGCATTAAGTGTATCACGCCGCCTTGCGAACCTTCCATATTTCCTATGGGTTTCAGCTTTCAACTGCACACAATTGACTGCATTTTGTTTGGTGGAAACGATATTCTCCCCCGCGGCTCATAAAAGCACGGATGCGAAGACGGAAAAGGAGAATTATGAAGTCTCAACCAGTCGAGTCCTTGAAGCATTTAACAGAAATGGTCTGGCCATCTTCTTGGCTGCAAATTTACTCACAGGACTCGTCAACCTGACCATCCCAACTTTATTTGTCAGCAATCTCCAAGCTATGGGGATATTACTACTTTATGCCTCTGCCTTGACGGGACTTGCAGTAGGTTTGGATGTATATGACATCTCCATTAAAATGTAATCCCGGATGGAGATTGTTTAAGCAGCACAGTAATCTGCAATCTCGCCGAGTACAGCTTTTGCTTTGCAACTCCCGTGCTTGATGAAAGCATCGATGAATCTTGTACACAAACTTTGACATTTGATACCTGCTTTTCGGATGCTGTGATGTGAACCTGAATATATATCAATCGTACGAGTAGATGAGACAATGAAGCAAACAATGCAAAAGTTTCGACCTCAGCAATCATTTGATCCATACACCATACCATACCTCTTGATTCATATCAAAGCTAAATATATATCGGGTCGGTTAGATCGGTATCACCGTTGTTATTATCTAGGTACCTAGGTACTTTATGGATAATCAAGCGTGTGTCAGGTAATCAATCAATCGACCGATCAAGCAATTCCAGCATAAAACTCTACAGTAACATAAATGAACCCACAAAACCACAACCTTGATTGACCATCGATTCCGCACTCATCAGCCCGTCCAAAGACTTTATAGTTTGTATGTACTGGTAGCCTGGAGAATAATTATTATCAGATTTATTCGTCGTATCGGGAATCGAGAATCGGGTTAGATGCTGAAACGAAACAATGTCCTCCTTGCTTGCTTGCACCTTTCGTATGTAAGCCGATTCCCTTCTTCTTTTATGGATTGTTGAGTTATGTGGATTGGATATATAGGTATATGTATTTGTAGGTATTGTATATATATATGTCTATCTTGATATGTGATTCGTATTATGTTTTCGAGGAGATGGGAGGGGGAACGAACTTGGATGGGATGGGAGGGGAGTGGAATGGTGCAGGTACCCAGAATACATGCATATACATACATACATGCATGTCATTGTACGGAGTAATACGACGTTGACTACCATACCTAGTTCAGGAATGGTGGATCGGATGGGAGTGGGTGGGTGCGTGGTACCTGAATCTTTCCTTGTTGGTGTTGGTGTGATTTTCTTTGGGGGGGGGGGGGGGGTTTCCTCGAGGATGGATGGAGATGGGTTTTTATTTATGTTTGGGTTTGGGTTTGTATTTGTATTTATAGCTCATGTGCATACAGAGTATATGTACGGTATGTGTATGTGTAGGTGTAGATGTGAGATTTTTGTGAGGTTTGGGGATATGTAGATAGGGAATAGGGGATAGATAGATATGTATATACCTATTGATAGTGTATGATTCTTAGGTATTATGGCAATGATATGATATCTGGCTGGTGATGTTGATGTTGATATTGATGTTGATATTGATGTTCTTATTCTAGGTATAGTACATTCTTCTTCTTTTATATTGATATAATGTGATATAATAATGTAATACGATATAATACCTAGATACCTATCTAGTACCTAAGTATCCATCTACCGGTATACAATGAAACAACACCCAAAAGAAACAAGAAAACAAGTAAAATTTCAGGATTCTTCGGGTCTTCTGTGGACCAGCCGGTGTTCTTTTGATTGGATTTCTAGTTTGTTTCAGAGAATGTTTTTGGGGGAGAGGAAAGGGGGGGGGATTGGAGATGTAAATTTTAGTGGGTGGATGGATTGATATATATAGATATATAGAGAGAGTGTTTAGGGAGGGAGATTGAGGTATTATATTCTAGGTGATTGTGGGATTTGTTATTTGTTTATTTATAATTTCTTTTATATATGAGTATTGAATACGTTTATTAATGTCTAGATGAATAGAGTCTTAGATCTAGTGTTTTTATTTTTATTTTTATCTCTATTTCTATTTCTATTTCTATTTCTATTTCTATTTCTATTTCTATTTCTATTTCTATTTCTATTTCTATTTCTATTTCTATGTCTATTTCTATTTCTATTTCTATTTCTATTTCTATTTCTATTTCTATTTCTAGAGCTTTGAAATTGGAATCGAATCAATGATTTTTCTGATTCTGTTATTAGGAAAATAAAAATAGATAGATATTTAGATGAAATCTATTTATCTATCTATAGAGTTCTAGATACTAGATAGACAATAAATATTTAACATAGTATTATAATGTAATTTGACTTGACTTAACTTGATCTAATAGCTATCTATCTTAAATATCTATCTACTCACCTACTTATTTGTATTTAAGCTCTAAATAATAGATAGTCTTTATACATTATATACAACTCAACTTACCTACTAGACAAATATCAATACTAACCCATTCATCAAATCTTTATAATATCTATCTATCTATTTATTTACCTACCTCCCTATCTATATACTATCCAAATATCTCAAAATCCGCAAAACACTCTTCTCCCTCTTTCCCTCCCTTTCTCCCTCCTCCCTTCTTTTTCTTTACAACGACTAACAAACAGATAAAATATATATCTATATCCTAAATTCCATAACATAAATAGAATTTTGAAACTCACATTTAGAATTTTGGAAATCTATCTATCTACCTACCTACTCACTTACTTATATATCCATCAAACACT